ACGTGTTGACTGGATGGATCATGTGTCACCTAGTCTTTATACCATTACCAATATGTACAAAGGAAAAAACACTGTTTAACATGAAACGATGAAAATTCTATCTTCAGAAGACAGTGAGCCATTTTAGTTGACTGCTCTGATGAAGAGGCATGCATTCTTGCAGCATAGAACAACCCACGGAAGGCTGCCTTATTAAATTTTTGTGAATTTTTTTTGGGGAGCACAACCCTAAGAATTTTATCCAGGGGTTGGAGAGATGGCTCAGTGCTTAAGAACACTTGCTATTCTTCCAGAGGACCCAAGTTCAATTCCCCTGCACCCACATGGCTGCTCACATCTAAATCCAGCTCCAGGGGATCCAATACTTGCTGTTTCAGTGGGCCCCAGCAATCATGTGGACAAACCCACCCGTAGATACACACAACTATACACTACTAAAACTAATAAAAATAAATTTTTTAACCTGGTGTCTTTATTTTCTAAAAATTAACATTCCTGTTCTACTTTCTTCTTTGATAATAATTTTTGCCTCTGAAATAGACATGGCTTATATATGGGGCATGAAAACAATATTCTGATGGGAAGTGTGTTAACTTGAAAGGTGCTCTTGGAGAGAAAATGTCGATGCCTGGAGGAAATCTGTTAGTGTAATTCCAGGGCATGGAGAGCTCTTCCGGAGTTTGAGTTACGGGCATTGTGGTTGAGTGAGAAGGGGAAGGGGTTTTCTTTTTCCAAGTATCTATATTCCCCATTGTAAAAGAATTCTATTCTTGAACTTCAAAAATAACTGTCTGCCTCTCTCTCTAGAGAGAGAGAGAGAATATAGGGACTGTTCTAATATAAACAAGATATAGGTGTAGATGACTATATTTTATACATTTTGAACATAATTGGTATTACTTTTTAATTTAAGATTACATAACTAGCCAGGCGGTGGTGGTGCATGCCTTTAATCCCAGAACTTGGATGGCAGAGGCAGGTGGATCTCTGTGAGTTCGAGGCCAGCCTGGTCTACAGAGCGAGATCCAGGACAGGCATCAAAACTACACAGAGAAACCCTGTCTCGAAAAACCAAAAAAGAAAAAAAAAGATTACGTGATTAATTGGTATTATTAATTATTATTATTAATTATTAATTAAGATTACATAACTAACAACCATCTGGACATCACCCATACCTGGTCCATTTGCTCAAAGTCTAACAAAATCAGCATTCAAGATGTATTGGATTGACTTTTCTCTTGATAAGCCAAACTGCCAAATCATGATGTGTAGAATTAGCAAAGCATTGACATAGAGACAAGCAACAGGATTCGCCAGTGTTAACGGACTCCAGCCCAGTATATGGAGGGTGGAGGTGTCACTGTCATCCTAATGATAACATTTGCACGTGCCCAGAAGGCTCTGGTGCACAGCTGCCCCAAACAGAGCCTTTAATAGCATCTCTGCCTTTCCTGGGAGCCCTGACCCCAGAGAACACTTCTTTCTCTGGCTTTTATTTTTTTTATTTTTTTATTTTTTTGGTTTTTCGAGACAGGGTTTCTCTGTGTAGCTTTGCGCCTCTCCTGGAACTCACTTGGTAGCCCAGGCTGGCCTCGAACTCACAGAGATCCGCCTGGCTCTGCCTCCCGAGTGCTGGGATTAAAGGCGTGCGCCACCACCGCCCGGCTTTTATGTCATCAGAGTTGGCCTTGAGGTCAATACTTGCTTTACAGTGATAGAGTGCAGATCTGAAGCCTAGGTTCTTTCTCATTCAGCATCCATAGCCACCTAAAGATCCAGATAGTATTTGCTATTATCCAGCCTCCCCAGAGGGGAAATCTTAAATCTGGAGTCATACCAAGTCAGAGTTGGAGCTGCCCATTGGGGGCTTAGGGGCAGATGGCAGAGGATCACAGCTGAGCTTCATGGCAGTCCTCCGTAAGGAATACCCAGGATCAAATAGACTGACACCTTTTCAAACCACTTTCCCAGGGCCAGGAATGCTGAACCCATGGTGACATTGAATGACAACTCTTCTTCCCTTTGTTGAATAAGGAACACAGGTGAGAGACACACTCTCCTCCCAGCCTATACACAGTCACAAAGAACAAGCAGGGCTTCTAAGCATGAAATTTGCAGAAGTTATCCATTTACTGTAAGCGTGGGAAGGGCCAGCAATCTCAGGCAGACAAGGTTTGATAAGAGAATCTGCAACCCACTAGCATTATTTGTTGGGAGAATATGAAGTTGTGAATTGGGAATGTCAAGAACTGCAGCCCCAGATGGAGGCCTTTTACCAAGACTTCCTCCAAGCTATGGGAGTTCTGCCAACGTATAGACAAATGTGTCTTTAGTTTGAACCTTATCATCTGGCTTTGTGTCCCAACATATTATAAAGCATAAGTGAGTTGACAGTGTGGTTAACTATTACTCACAAACAACACTCTCCCAAGGCTGAGGGGCTCCATTTTACCACTATAGAAATAAAACAGCAGCTGCTTTCTGCTTACAGAATCAAAAGGGATGCACTCAAACCAAAATCACCACTTAGCAGTAATGAGCCCACAATAGTGTGATATGAATAATCTGTAGTTTTGAACTCAGAGCCAATTTTGTGGTGAAATGTATGCTTTATATCCTTAATGCTTATATGCATATTTTAAATAGTTTTGCTCCATATCCACATATTAAGCTTTCATAATATACACTTATGTTTCTACATGTGTGTTTTCCTGAACCATAGGCTTCTTAAGGAGAGATCACATGTCTAACTGATGTTTTATCCTGAGTCCCAGACTATTGTCTGGCTAAAGACCTTCACATTATACCCAGAATTGTTTTGTTTGAAAGAACTTATTTGTAATTTGTCTAAATGTGTCAGTGAAAATGCACTGCCTTGACTTTCTGGAATGCTTGACTAAACCTTATTCAAGAACTCAAGAAAAGAGGATAACTCCGGAAGCTGGAAAGAGCCATATTTCTTCTTCAACAGCTGTTCTTGAAGGCAGGATGCTGTGTTCGCCAGCCCCCTCCCCCATGGCAGGGTCTGTTAGCTTAGTTAGTTGGAGATTGGTACTAGTCATTAGCCTCCGTTATTGAGGTTTTAGAGGTGAATGTAATTGTCTTTGACAGCCGTGTAGATGGATTAAAAAGGTGGAGACGTTTTAAGCAAGAGCAATCCTGGGCTTGTTTATGAAGTGATTGCGTGAGTTGAGGCATGAGGAGACAGGGCTAGAGTTAACAAGAATTAGGGTTCCACTGGGTGCGGTGGCCAATGTTCCTATTAACAGCGCTTGAGAAAGGCTGAGGCAGGAGGATCATAGATTGGAGGTCAGCCTGAGATATATAGGAAACTGAGAGAGGGAGAGGGAGAGGGAGAGGGAGAGGGAGAGGGAGAGGGAGGGGGAGGGGGAGGGGAGGGGAGGGGGAGAGGGAGGGGAGAGGGGAGAGGGAGAGGGAGAGGGAGAGAGGGAGAGGGAGAGGGAGAGGGAGAGAGGGAGAGAGAGAGAGGGAGAGGGAGAGAGGGAGGGAGGGAGGGAGGGAGGGAGGGAGGGAGAGAGAGAGAGAGAGAGAGAGAGAGAGAGAGAGAGAGAGAGAGAGATTATGTCTTCTTGGATTGGTGTACAGCACCTGCCTAGCATGTATAAGACTGTGGATTTGACCCCCAGCACTGCAAAAATGTGTGTGTATAATATATATATATATATAAACACATAAATATGTATCATATAGCTTCCACTTTTGCATAACCTAGGGAATAGTCAGCATGGGGAAAATTATGTGCTGTTTTATAAATCTTTAGATTTTTATTAAGCCCATGCTCCCTATCTTCATGGTGGCTTGGTCAGTTAGTTCCCTGACCTCTGCCTGTGCTGTTTATGCTTGAATTCACCTTCCACAAATTAGACTCGACACTTTCTCCAACTCACTGGTCATTTTCACTGTGACACCTCTTGCTGTGCATCACACTTTAAAATCCCCTGAGGAAGGGACGAAGCTGGGGCTGCTTGTGTTTTATATTGTGCTTCTGGGCTAGGGCTGAACATGAATCCCAAGGGATGTGAGGGAGGCTGAGTTCTGTTCCCCAGAGCTCAATTGTTCTGGGAAGCAAGGGAGGATTCCAGAGGTGCAGTGTGGTGAGGAGAGGAACAGATATAATAGTCCCTGCTGTAGGGACCTTTTAGTGACTTGAGGACAGAAAACAAATGCTTGCAGGGGAATCGATACAGTGAAAATCAGCAGCCAGTGTTTATGCTAGAGCTGTTATTGGGGGATGTAGTTAGCTATCTGAGACTGACCTCTAACAAGTAAGGAAGAGGACAGAGGTCTGCAGGGGGTGACACTGGGCCTGATGCTAGTTCTGACATCGGATACTGTGTCATCCTGTGTTTCAGAGTGACCAGCTTCCTCTGGGCTGTGTGCCCATTGCGGGACTGCGCTGTTCGGTTCTAAGCCTGTACACAAAGTGCAGGCAGACACAGAGATGAACGCTTTCCTCTCGTTTACACAGAAATTACTAGCAGAACTGGAAGGAAGAACTGACCGTCTGGTTCTACATGTGTGTGTGTGTGTGTGTGTGTGTGTGTGTGTGTGTGTGTGTGTGTGTGAGATCTCCCTCTATAAAAATAAAACAAAACAAAGATAGACCAAAAAGCAAGAGGAAGGAAAAAATTCTTCATTTCGTCACACCATAAAGGACAATTCTGGAGCATCTGCTCCCCCCCCCCCCCCCCCCCCCCCCCCCCCCCCCCCCCCCCCCGGTTATATTTTAGTCTCTGGTATCTGTCTGTTAAAGTTTCAGACCACTCTGCACATGCTACCAAGGTGGACTTCTCAGCGTGTGGTTGTGTCTCATGAAAGTAGTTCCCCAAAAACCGTGAGAGACACTTCATACTCCAGATCCACCAAATAAAGCAGGGCTCAATGAGTTCAGCAGTTTATTGTGTAAAGAGGACACATTCTACCTTCAGTCCAGTTATGCTCTTAACTCAGTCCCATTTCAATCACCTTGTGCCTCGTTCTTATTCTGTTCAGCATTTGGGATTGAAAATTCTTTTAAATTATTCAAAGAACTAAGTAGAGTGATGAGAGGCAGCAGAGACTATGGGGGAAGGCAAAGACCTGCTTAAAGGAAACAAAATCCAATGAGATTAGCTGGGAAGTTGCCTCCATGGGGAACCCATGGGCTCCTTACAGGGGTTTTAGCAATTCAGAAACAAGAACAAGAAAACCCAAACAGAGAGAGGTTTATTTGCCATTTGCTAGACCTCCACCAATGAGAGCTTCAGTGTAAGTGAGGAATGTGCCTGGTACTGCCTGGGTTCAATCTTGCAAGCGCTTTACAGCTCAGAGCGAGAACATTTGTATTTAATTACAGAGACTGATAAATAGACTAAGCGCTTTACAGCTCAGAGCGAGAACATTTGTATTTAATTACAGAGACTGATAAATAGACTCCCCATCCCACCGGAATCACAACACAGTGCTGATGGTGTTCTCTAATGGCCAGGTACTTTCATTTTCAGCCGCAGCAGCCTCCCCTTGGCAGCTGGTTATACACTTTCCTCCACCTCCTTGATTTCAGAGGACACGACCTTGCCGTCCACCACTTCCTGCACGATGGTCTTAATCTTCCTGGTTTTCTGAGTATCTGTGTGTGTATTAAACATCAGAGGTTGATACAGGCCCATGGCTGCCCTGTTATATCTCTCAACTTTCAATTATTGCTGTTTTCATTTATTTCCTATTCTTTTTCTTATATAATCTTAAGTTGATTTTATTAAAAAAAACACAGACAATGTATCACTCTCCCCAAATTTATAAATCCCTCACCTTTTCACCTCAGATAGAAATAGACAATCTTGAATAAAATCCACATTTCAGTTGTTCATTTCCTTTCCAGGATTACTATCTTAGTAATAGCACAGGCTAAGAAAATTGCATTGTCACAGGGAGTGTGCCAAGATCCCCACTGGGATGGATTCTGTACATTGTGTACAAGCGTTTTAGAATGCTGGTGTCTTGGGGGCTGGTGAGATAGCTCAGCTGATAAAAATGCTTGCTAAAATAGTATGGGTATCTGAGTTCTGGTGCTGAAACCTATTTTTTTTTTTAAAGCAAGCTGGATGTGGTGGTAAGCATAAAGTTGTCCTCTGACTTCCATATGTGCAGTGCGGCATGGGCATACACACACACACACACACACACACACACACACACACACACACTAAACAAACAAACAAACAAACAAATAAATAAATGAACAAATAAAAATAAACAAATAAGTAAGTAAGTAGAAACCTGGTTCTTAATTGTGCTTTTGAGGACGCTCCGCCTTTTACCTTTCCTCAGCCGCTGAGATTTCAGCGGTTATGGAGTAAGCGCCCAAGACCACTTACCCTTTGCTTCCAAAGTGCTCAGGTGGTACTCCTTAGTTCTGTGTTGTTGTTTTCAAAGCAAGGTGAAGAAACAGAAAGAAAGCGTTATTTTCGTGTCAGAGCCAGGGCGCTTCCCTCCTCATCCTTTTGTTTTTCAAAGTCTGGGTTGATGTGAGGTTAAACGTTATTTTCCTATTTCTGTCCCTCAGACCACGCTTACTCCACTCTGGAGTGTCCTACTTTTTAGCTTGGGAAACGCCTGGTGTCAAAACCAACCCGCTTAGCATCTGCTGGAAGCATCTGTAGTTCCAGCAGAATACAATTAGGATGGAAGTTCAAATCTGTGTTCTCCTGATGAGCTTGGATTTACGTTTGCAGGAAGCTGCTCCAATTCTGCTGATTTACAAACTGGCTCCCACGGGCCTTTGCGGCTTGTGGTTTAATTCATGAGCAATCAAAGAGAATTTTCAGAAGGTTATCATGCGTCCAATTACACATTCAACATAAGAATTAATACAAGCACCATTGGTATCACTCACAGAACCATTTCCCGACTCAGGTCTGCCCCATGACCTTGTTCAAAGGCTATTGATAGTTGGGGTGTTTTATACTATTTGGTGTATTTTCATCTTGTTGTTGTTGTGTGTGTAATTAGCCTTTGTGTTGGGGATTGCCTTGACAAGGACCGTGAAAGAGAATTGCAAACAGACACGGACAGGCATCCCAAGGTGCTTACGTTGTTACATCTTCTCCTTCCAGAAGGCGGCGGTAGGTGGCGATCTCCTGCTCAAGCCGGGTCTTTATGTCCAGAAGGATGTTGTGCTCCTGGTTCTGGCGTTCGGCATCACTCCGGATCTGCATCAGTTGGGCCTCCAGGGAGCTCAGCATTCCCTGGATGGCTGCCAACTGGCTGGCGTAACGAGCCTTGGTGTCCTCCAGGGTGCGCTCCAGAGACTCTTTCTAGGAGAGCAAGACAAGGGGGGTGTTTCTTATTTGCTGACTTGAAGTAAGCAGCGCAGTTTGTTGTACCTTTTGGGAAGAATTTTTGCAGCCTTTGAGCACCCATTTTTTCCAGCTCTTTCGTTCTTCCCATCTAGACAGACCCAGCCAGCCAACTGTGCCTGTCATCTCTGGGATTTTTGTTTAGTTTAGTTTGAGCTTTGTGTCTAGTGTTCGCTCGGTGTGATACACTGTACCACATTATCAACATTTGCTTCCTTGCCCTGGGAGGAGGCCATGCTGATAAGGTTTTTTTTTTCTTTTCTTTCTGAGAATCAACTCTAATAGTTGCCCCACAGCTCAGCTATTTCTCTCTTTTTTCCACCACACTGACATGACTCAGACTAGTCTGTCCCTTTAGCCCTGACCCAGGAAGTAGGATGTCAGAGTCATCTTGGGAGCATTGTTGGCATAACTTGCTGTGGGCTGATGTTTGCTTGGCCTGCAATATCTCTACTCTTTTCCTAACTTAAAGCTCATCTTTGATCTAAGATCTAGGGTAAGTGTGATTTCCCCCATGGAATGTTCAAGATCTACCCTTGCATCTGCATATGTACAGCTCATGGTCCTTGCCTTGACTTCTTTCTGTGGTGTAGTTACTGTTAACCATTGGACCTGTTTCCTTGTTGGCTCTGCCAGGGGAGAAGTTACTTCTTACAGGGGTCTGTGCTTTTGGAGTTGTGAACACGGGCCTTCGTCAGCACAGACGTGGCCGAGCAGGGGAGGCCAGAGGTGCTCACCATGCTGAGGTGGGACTGGAGCTCTATCTCCAGGTTCTGGTAGGTGCGTCTCAGCTCCGTGACTTGAACCTCGGTTCCTTTCAGCTCCTCGGTGTTCACAGTGACTTGTTGCTGCAGAGCCTCGCTCTGCAATTCCAAGAATGAAGAGAAATGAGCAAAGAAAGAGAGGAAGGAAGGAAGGCAAGAAGAGGAGGGGGAAGAAGAGCGGAGAGAAGAAAGGCAGGAGGATGGAAAAAGAGAAAGGAAGTACGGACTCTCTCCTGTAGAACGGAACTGCACATCTGCACTGCACATCTGCTCACACTCTAGAATTACCTGTCTCTCAAACTGTTCCTTGGCCTCTTGAAGGTTCTTCTGGGCCAAGACTTCATATTTCTGCCTCATCTCATTCATGATCTCTCCCAGGTTCAGGCCTGGAGCAGCATCCACCTCCACATTGACATTGTTACCCAGCTGCCGGCGAAGGACGTCGACTTCCTACGAGAGTGAGATTCTGAGTGAGTTTAGTGTGAAACGCATTCTCGGGTCAGGCTGAGAGGACAAGCTATAACACACATCTTGTGACTTCTTTCGTTGGGCGTGAATAAAGATGAGAGGAAACCAGAAGACGACTTCCTGTGCTCTGGGCACTGCAAAGCAGTAAGGGTGACTGTCATGATTGACAGTCCTCATCATCACCGTCAGCAGCAGCAGCAGCATCGCCACCATCGCCTCTTCCTGTTTCTCCTCCTCTTGTCTTGTTATTTCTATGGGAGCTCCCTCACCATTCCCCAAACATCCCACCTACTTCTCACCTCCTGATGCTCTTTCTTAAGGAGGGCCAGGTCTTTGCTCAGCTCTTCAATCTGAAGTTCCAAGTCTGTCTTTTGAAGGGTCAGATCATCAAAAACCTTGCCCAGGCCTTGGAGATCAGCTTCTACGGTGATGCGCATCCCCCTCTCCGTCTCAAACCTGGGGAGGAATTAAGACGAAAATCTAACAGCCCTCCTACAGCCATTATAGAAGAGATGATTTAATACAATGAGATAGGTCAGCCTCCTGCACTTTATAACAATTCCCTTCACATATTTGTGAAAAATGAATGAGAACCTGGGGACCAGATCATTTGCTCTGTACCATAATCTGTCACTGGGGCTGGAGAGATGGCTCAGTGGTTAAGAGTACTTTGCAGAGGACCTTGGTTCAATTCCAAGCACCCACATGGTGGTTCATAACCATCTTAAACTCCAGTTCCAGGGCATATGATGGCTCCTTCTGGTCTTTGTGGGCATCAGGCACACACATGCAGGCAAATGGTCATTCACATAAGACTCTGTATATCTATATCTAACTTCTGTTCCCTTGTGGTCTGAAGTAACTTTTGAAAAGTTTATAAATTCAGGGGCTAGGGATATAGCTGGGTGGTAGAATGTTTGCATATAAGATCCCAGGCTTGATCCCCATCACTACAAAAACAACAGGAAACAAAGCTAAAACTCCAACCAAACCAACAACAATAAAAAAGCAAAAAAAAAAAAAAAAAATCCCCAAACATCCCCCCCCCAAACACTGCAAAAACTAACAACCCAAACATAAATTTTACAGAGGGAACTTATTTTGATCATTTTGTTAAACAGATGCATACAATGTGAGTCATCTCAGTCATTGCCTTTCCTCTGCAACCTTGTAGCAGAGACACAAATTAAATACACCAAAGCCAACCAAGGGATAACACAGAACAGCCGCTGACCAAGCAGACATGGGGTTCACAAATCTAGCTGTCTCACCTTCATTCAGATCTGCCTTTTGATTTCTTTCTTTTTCATCTCTTTTAGCATCAAAACCCCATCCTTCTAAACTGCAGGGCTGTGGGTGTGGACACACCCTGCAGCCTGGGGCCAGGGAGCTCTACTGGTCAGCAGTTCGGAGGGAGCCTAATAATGTGAGTGTGCACAAGACGGTGAACAGAAGTGGAAGTGTATTAATCGTAGGCTGGCTCCATTTCTTTGGTTGGCTGGATGAAAGGGGAACACTGAGAGGTACAGGAGTCATCCAGGGAATCTGGCTGTGATGTGGGAGCCACATGTCTCCATGCCATGGGATGATTCTGTGGCGGGTCACCCAGTGGAGACATGTGACTCTCACATCACAGAAGGACATTTGTGCAGACATGGAATTCTCGGTTGCTTTGTTACTGCTCTGACTGACAGAATTAGGTTTAGTGAGTGAAAAGGCAGAAGCCAGGTTACTAAGAAAGACTACTTTAGGAACCAGAGCTGACACACCGGAACAGTAGCAGTTACTGAGAGGTGTCCAGAAACAACAGAGGGTAGACGAATTCCAGCATCGTGGGAGAGTGGTGTCTGTCCCCAAGTGCTGGGCAGGATCACATAGCTTTTAACAGCCCTTAAGCTCCAAGATTCTGTTATAACGTAATACAAGTTTCTTGGCTCACAATAATATGCTCATCTTAGTGTGATGAAAAGCTAATAAATGGAATTATTTTTCAGGACTCGTGAGTTGGTTCAGCAGTCTAAGACACTCGCTGTCCACCTGACATCTGGAGTTCTATCCCTGGAACCCATGTGATGGGAGGAGAGAGCTGCAAATTTCCTCTGACCTCCACACGTGTGCTGTGGCTTCCCCCTCCCTCTCCCTCCCCTACCCCTTCCCCTCTCTTCCCGCTCTCTCAATCCCCTCCCCTTCTCACATACACATATACATACTAAATAAATGAGAAAAAAAGCTACTAAAAGGATTTCTTTTTCAGATAAATTTACCATGGTGCTGGGTGTGGTGGAAGACATCTGTAATTCTGAGTAAGGAGGATGCTGGCTTTGGGGTCCGCTTGGACCACATTGCAAGGACCTATCTCAAAAACAAAAAACAAGACAACCAACACACACACACACACACACACACACACACACACACACACACACACACACCCCATTTTTACTGTGATTTAGAGAACTTACTTCAATCTGAAGTCCTCTGCAGCCAGTTTAGCATTGTCAATTTGGAGGACGCATCGGGCATTTTGTATTTTAGCATCTTTAATCTGGAAAACATAGAGAGAGAAAAAAATGACATTTTCGTCAGGGCAGGAGTTTAAAATGGTTTTACTTGTCCTCAGAGACAACTGTCATTCCATCAAAGGTGATGTCTATTTCAGGAATGTCCATGTGAGGATAAGTAGGGGGATGATGACACAGGTATTAATGTAATAGAGTTAAACAGGACTCTTGGTCTGGCCCGTTTTCTTGTGATTGTACAACATGGAAGTTGAAATCATCCCCATCACTGAACCTTAGTAAGTGCGTGCCTTGTCTGTGGCGCCGTTCGGACCTGGAACATCGCTGTTAGCCAGCCCATCTCACCTGGCCAGCTCCCATTCCTTCACCTCTCAGCCCAGACACCATGACTTCAAGGGGCCCTCAACCATATCCTCCAGTTCTAGTAGTGGGTGTGGCCCTGTTTCTGATGCTCTGCACAGCCTTCCTGCCTTGACCTCTCTGAGTGATAGTTGCCTCTGTCCAGGCCTGGTTCCACCCAAAGCACTTTATGTACTGACACATTCCTCTATGTGTGATGCTCAGTTCCCAGCTGGTGTCTATGGAATAGTGGCTGAATGAGAACTGGTAGGCGTTAGGTACTAAGACAGAAGGATGGGTGCACCCTGGATCTGTGTGTGTGTGTGTGTGTGTGTGTGTGTGTTCATATGTACAGGTGCATGCATGTGGAGGTCAGAGAACAGTCTTGCATGTCATTCCTTAGGTGCTGTCCACATTTTTTTGGGGGAGGGGCAGGGTCTCTCACTGTCCTGGAACTCATTAAGTAGGTCAGGCTGACTGTTCAGCAAGCCCCATGGATCTGCTTGTCTCCACTTCTCCAACACTGAGATTACAAGCACATGCCATCTTTCTCCATTTTGTTTTTAAAACCTGGGTTCTGGAGGTTGGACTCAGGTTCTTGTGCTTGCCAGGCTAGCACTGTGTTCTTGAAGATGCGTGTAGATTGGAAGTCTGCTTCTAGAAGGCATTAGAATGACGCATCTCTTTCAGTAGCTATTCCTGGAGAGCGGTCCCTTAAGAGGCTTCCAGCTAGTAGGTACTAGTGGCCGCTCCTCGGTTTTGTGGATAATCCCCAAGTCAGTTCAGAAGCACCAACTTTGAGAGATGTGCTGGGGAACAACCTATTTATTTGGAATGTGTTTTAGTGAAAGCCTGAAGGAAGGCCCTGTTGAGGGTGATGTCATCTCCTTAGCTTTGTGAGCTGAGAGTTTCTGTGAAGTTTGAATGAAGTTGCACTGATGCCTATAACACAACTCAAGAAAAGAGGCCCACTGGGGAGTCAACGGCCTTTGCTCTAAAGGGGTAATAATTTTAAACATAAGCAAAGCAGAAAAGGACGCTTTGCTTGATTAGATAAGAATGCCGAAGCAAAGCAAAAGGTGATTGCTGTGCCTGATGTCTTCAGTCAGGAGCAAAGTCTCCTGCTTCTACTCCATCGGGGTGGGGAGGGAGGGAGAGAGAGAGAGAGAGAGAGAGAGAGAGAGAGAGAGAGAGAGAGAGAGAGAGAACCCCACCTATCACCTATCTCGGATGACACAGGAACAGATTGTGATATGATTGCAATAAATTTGAATTGGGGGCAATAGAACATTTTATTATTGCAGAAGTGCTTTATACGATGCTTGATGATGGTTAGCAGATAATTAAACAGGGCATTAAAAAAATCCAGTTATCAGAGCTGTGCGTGGTGGCTAATCCCAGTGTTGAGGAGGAAGAGGCAGCAGAAGGGTGAGGTCCAGACTAGCCTAGTGAGATCTTGGTATCAAAAAAAAAAAAAATCGTCCCCTTCATCCATCCAACCACCTATCATCCATTAATATCTGTATTCTGTCTCCCCTCTGAACCCTTTTGTTATTTATAGCCATAGCAGGATGATACTTGAATTATAACACTTATATAAATGAAAAGAGAAAAATCTCTTTAAATTGATTTGAGTCTTCAAAGTTAGTGAAGACTAATGGGAAACTCACATAGAAACCCTTGAAGTTCTTTTAAAAATAAAATTATTCTCCATGAAGACCTGATATTGTAAGCTTTGACAAAGACACAGACTGTAATTTTGGATGATAAAATTATCATATTTTATATGTAATTAGGTTGAAGTTTTAGAAAAAAAGTGTGGGGTAAACTCATCTTGTTCACACTAACACCACATGATAAAATACAATTTTTTTCAGTTATGAATTTCAGCCTAATCTGCTTCATGTGTTTGAATTCACCTAGCATCCACCCATCCCTCCTGATCTACTATGCAACTAAACCGTAGGGTAGAAAACACAGGCCTCACGACTCACCTGATTCTGCAGCTCTTTGATTTGTGTGTAGTAGGGACCATAGTCCTTGATGGTGCTAGGGGCATTGGTTTCATACCACCGCTTGATCTGGGCTTCAAGTGTGAAGTTGGATTGCTCCAGGGACCGCACTTTCTCTAGGTAGCTCGCCAACCGGTCATTGAGGTTCTGCATTGCTAGTTTCTCGTTGCCAGCAAACAGGTCCCCTCCGCTGGAGAGATCACTCCCATAGCTCGCTACAGATTTGGAGACGGAGATGCGAGTGCCATGGCCTCCGGCCCCTCCATAGACGCTGGGTGCGGCCCCCACGCGCTGCACGCTCGTCTTCCTATACAGGGAACCGCTCACGCTAAGGGCTGGGCCTGGTGAGGAGGAACTCAGGCTTCTGTGAAAACTTCGGCGACTGAAATCCATCTGGGATTCTGGGAGGCAGCACCTGGAGCCTGGAGTTGGAGCCCAGCCTGTCTGTCTCGTGGAGCTGTGGAGCTGACCTTTTATAGAGTTCAGGAGAGACTCCTCCTCTGCTGCCAAGTCACTTCAGGAATGACACAGTCGGCTTTTCGGCCTCCCCCTCTTTAGTACAGCAATATGTTCCATCCCGTTCCAGAAATGACCACTAGAGGCACTTCGTAAGGGCTTTTCTGGGGTGGGGTGGGGGTGATTTCTTTTTAATAAACAGAGGTAACAAAAAGAATGAGGAAGGGGTGCTCTTTCAGTTCTTGCACCTGCCCTGGCAGGTTCTTTTTTCAACCCCCGTACACAAATAAAGAATATTTACAATCTATATGAATAATTCAGGCATTGAACAAGACAGCTGTGGGAACATAATGGTAAGTCACACTGGTGAGAGCAGACAATGGCTTGTTCGAATGATGAATTGCTTTTCAGAGCCTCTGTTTTATGCTCTATTTTTTTTTTTTGCTTTTGAGTTTATCCTTGTCTAGAACTTATATTTTTTAGTCTATTGAAATATCTTGTATGAGGCTGGGTGTGCTGGTGCGCACCTGTAATTCCAGCCCTTGGGAAGCAGAGGCAGGAGGATCACTGCAAGTTTGACAGCAGCCTGGTTTAAGTTAGGAGCTCTAGGCTAGCCCAGGGCTGTGTAATAAGACCCTGTCTCAAAGCACGTGAGCACGCATGCCCAGAGTTTGAGAACTGAATATGCAAATGAGCACAGGTGGGTGATGGGTCGGTTGATTTTGGAATTCAAAAATATTTTAAATAGTATTTTTAGGAAATTTCATATATGTATACAATGTATCTTGATAATATCTACCCTGACTTCACTCTCCAACTGCCCCAGAAGCCCCTCAACACATCTCCCATCTAATTTCATGCTCCCTCTTTTAAAATAACCTATAAGTCTAATTAGTACTTCCTGTGTGCTTATGAGTGTACTGAGATATGGGCAGCCTATCAGTGGGCATACCTCCAAAGAAAATCCAATCCTCTTCTTGGCTCCTAGCAGCCCTCAGGTGCTGGGAACTCCCAGGCTAGGGCTGGAGCCTTGAGATCTCCTCCAGAGTGTTTTCTTTTTCCTATCTTAAAAAACAAACAAACAAACAAACAAACTCTATTATGAAAACCTTGCAATTACTAGTACTTTTTTTAAAATACTAGTGTCTAATGGTTGAAAATGCTTTTAAAAATTTAAATTACTGAGAAACCAGTTTTTATACCTGGTATGTTGCATGCAGGAGCCTGCCTCCCCTGTCTGAGGCCAGCTAGACACCACCAGGTCATGCTTTCTGCTTCTACCTTCCTGACGCTGTCAGAGCTGCCTCCCAGGATCCCTGATGGATTCCAGCTGCAGAACTTTCTCCTCCTTGCTGGTTACTGCACTGGAGCAAAGTGGTTCCCTGAGAAGGAAGGTTGCGGACAGCCACAGCGACCATACCTAAGGTCCTCGAGGCCGCTGATACAAGAGGGCAGCAATTATGAATCTTGACCACTCAATCTATTGATTTGTTTGAACAGAGCATTCCTTCCAGGGCCCGAATCTGTTTCTCTGCAGGAGGATTTGCTGTGTCCTCCATGCACACATGTGGGCACCTTCTCACCAGCGGGAACTGACAGGGAGCACTCACTGAGTGCTGAGGAGTGAGTTTCTTCGGAGATCCCTTTTCATTCACACTCCTGATGGAACGTATCTCCTCCTTTGACGCATTTACGTCAATTTTTAAATCAAATTAATTAGAAGGGATCGGGAAAGTCACAGAAAACACAACCAATTCCCATCTTAACACTTATTTGATTGGAGATTCGAGTATGATTAAAAGCAAGCGAGCATGTGTACATGCACAAAAGGAAACCCATTTGGAATCTGCTTGTGTTTCTTTTCCAAAGAACATTCTTCTAAAATAGAATAAGATTGTATTGTTTCTGTCTTTTAGATAACATACCTTCAAGTTACAAATTGGTTATAGTTTATCTCAGTTACAAGTTTTATAAAGTAAAAGTGATACAAAATTAAAAACTGACCAAGTTAGCCCTGCTTTAGGAACTGAATGGTATGTATGTATATGTATATATATATATATATATATATATATATATATATATATATATAGTATATGGTATATCTACTTCGTCTATTGCTACCTATTCATATGTCCATCAGCTAATCTTCCCCAAGTATTCACCATCAATGGCTGAACACACAACAAGCAGCTTTTGGTGTTTGTTACGATCCTAAATCAACTTATTAGTAGATGTCACAGCTGAAATTTGCAGTTAGTAAGCTTTTAGAGACACAGACTGCATGCATGCACCCACGTGCCTGTGTGTTGGTGTGTGTGTGTGTGTGTGTGTGTGTGTGTGTGTGTGTGGTGTAGCTAAATGTAGTTTTTGATGTTGATTAATGGGGTAAGAGAGAAAGTTGTTTGATTAAAGCTATTGGAAAATTACATCATTAAAATTGTATAAAATGTGAGGTGAGTCTCCACTGAGTTTCACACACTAGAGCACACACTGAAGCTGTTTAAAAGCACCACTTAGCTCCATAGTTAGTGCTAAGCGTGCGTCTGAGGTGTCCTCCCAGGGCTCCTGTGTTGAAGGCTTGGTCCCTGGTCTGAGGTGCTAATGGGAGCTGGTGGAACCTTTAGAAGGTGGGATGTACTGGAAGGAAGGCGTGCCACCAGGGGTATGTTTTTGAAGGGGATGTTCGGACCCTGCTCTTTCCGTCTCTCTTGGCTTCCTGAATGCCATGCTGAGAACGGGGCCTCTACCAGGCACCTGCCATGATGCACCATGTTACTGCGGGCCCAAACTACTGGAGCCAGCTGACTTTGGACAAAAACCTCCGAAATCATGAACTAAGACAAACATTTTCTCTAAGCCGTTTACCTCAGATGCTGGCCCAGCAGCAGAAGGCTGATTAACACAGCTTTGTAACAGGAAGGGGTGTAAACATAGTTGTCAAACATCATAATTTGTATTCTCTTCTTTAGCACAATTCTTACTTGTGGTTGGACCCAGTTATATTTAAGTCAGAGTTAAAAAATCCCATTTTTAGTTGTCTGGAGAAATAACTTCATGCATTATCGCATCTGTTTTTGCATAATATTTACAGATTTTCGATGTTTTAAATTTGAACTAAAATCTGATACTAGAAGGCAATAATTTTGAGGTTCCACCATCGGATCCACTAAGCTGCTTGAGGAGAAGAAGAATTCCTGTTGGAGCCTCTACCTGTCTCTACACAGCATCACTTTTATAGAACACTGGGTCTTCGATGTGTCAGTGAGATTTACCCTTTGGCAGGTTATTCTAGCTTATGAAGTGACTACAGGATATCAAGCTACTGTTTCCTAGGAATTCATTTTTTCAACAATATCAGAGACTGAATTAGGACCCGATTGCCCCTTATTCATACGCATTGGCACAAATTGAGAGTCCTTGCTATTGCAGGCTGTTTGGTGACTGCATCTGTAAATAGATACCAGAGACAACTTCCAGTATGTAATCGAGATGCATTTTGACCTCTGAGACAACTCAACTGAGCGTTAATGATTAATGTTAGGTTTGGACGAGATCGTTTGGAGCAATGTTATAGCTCTCAGAGGACTTCGTACTTTCGTTTTCCCCCAGCAAGGGCAAGCTATTGCAGCGCTGATATGTAGACACAGATTGTGTGGGCTCTAGAGAGGATGCCTTCTGGAGACCAGGACACGGGGGTGGGGGTGGGGGTGGGGAGAAGAGATGAGGAAACTTGGACCATGAATTCTTCCTCGAAGCTGGGCGATGAGTGGGGGTGTTCAATGGGGTCAACGTAAACTGCTAGTATTGTCTTTTACAGAGTTAACCCAGCACCTCCAGCTTACAGCTTACCCTTATTTGGTGCTTCTGCTCAGCTATGACTTGAGGACTTGGTGGATCTGTTATCTCAGTGGCTGTGGGATTTTCAGAGTGAGAATATAATACACAGTCATGAGTCACTTAACGACGGGGATGTCATGAGAAGTATGTTGTTAGATGACTTCCTTGTTGTTTGAATATTGGGGAGTATAGTTACATAAACCTGGATGCTATAGCCTGCCATGCACCAAGACACATGGCATAAATGGTAGACACACAGACACACAGACACACACACACACACAGACACACACACACACACAGACACACAGACACACAAAACACACACACACACACACACACACACACACACACACACACACTTTTATGTTATTGTCTGAATTTACTTTCTATTCTTCTGATAAATACCATGACTACAAGCAACTTTCAGGAGGTCGTTATTTGACACAGCTCCTCAGCACAGTAGATGAGGGAACTCACACAGAGACTCAAGCAGGAGCAGAGGCAGCGGCCCTCAAGGAATGTTTACTGGCTTGCTCCCTGTGGATTGCTCAGCTTGCTTTTTTATACAGTGAATTTTCATCTATCTAGGGATAGCACCATCTCCAGTGGGTTGGGCCCTGGGGGCCCTCCCACATCAATCATTATTCAAGAAAATGCCCCATAGACTTCCCTGCAGGGAACCTCGTGGAGGCATCTATTCAGCTGAGGGTCTCTCTTCCCAGATGACACACATATTTATATAGCCTATTCCATGATAAACAAAACAACACAAGATTAAACCAAGCATAGGAGAAAATGCAGTACAGAGATATAGGAGGGGCTAGGAAGACGCCTTAGTCTGGTAAAGTGCCTCCCTGGCAAAGATGTGGGCCTTAGTTTAGATTCATAACCCTCATGCTCAAAAGCTGGCATTGTATCTATAACCCCAAAGGGTGAATAGTGGAGACAGGAAGACCTTTAGCATTCATTGGCCAGCTAGCTTAGCCAAATTGATGAGATCCAGGTTCAATGAGAGACCCTGTTTCAAAAAAACAAGGTGGAGACTGATTGAAGAAGACATGTGACATCAACCTTTGGCCTCCAAATACATATGCACACAAGTGCATGCATGTTGCTAAAAT